AAAAAGGCCGCCCCCTGAGCCTCGCAGAGCTGCGGAATGGTGCGAATAAAGAGCTCCATCCTCGTCTGCACATTGGGGCGCCCAAAGTCCCGCAGTGACTGCGTAATGGCACTGGAAAACATTTGCCCACTAGACAGTCCTCCCTTGGAGGTCACGCCCATCAGCCAGCAAGTGAGCGAAACGAGGCTCTTTTGCAGTTGCGAGTGGGCGCACTTGCGCTGCATCTCCATCAGCTGGTCAAGGACATGCTGAACAACTTGCTCATTTAGACTCTCCTCTTGTTCAAATCGCTTCTTGCTGGTTAGCTTTTCAAAAATGTTGATGCACTTGTTGGTAATGTAGGCGACATTTTTAATGGCGTAATGAGACTTGGCCACCAGCAGCACCGACGATACAAGATCAAGAGTCAGCTCAAGACTCAGGTCCTGCTTCTGCTCGACCACAATTTGAATCAGCTCAAGAATGCGAAATTTCAACGTCTGCATCATGTTTTGCTGTTCATTGGCTCGCTTCTTGTCGCCAAACTTTTTCCGGAAAACTTGAGCTAGCGATTCGTCAATTTTAAACATTTCGCTGTCGCTTACGGCATCATCGGAATCGCCGTCATTTTCAACAGCGCTTCCCAGCGCCTTGATAACGTCCAATTTAAACTGCTCGTCCACGCGGGCTTCATCATTGTCATCCTCTAGATCCTCGTCGCTTTCCTCTGATTCCTCTCCTTCATCATCATCGTCTTGTTCATCCTCCTCCGCATCATCTTTTCCTTTAGCATCTGCATCCTCCTCATCCATTTCCTCGTCGTCCTCGGCATCAGAATCGTCCGTTTGGAAAGCGTCCCTGTTGAGAAGCGCTTCAGTGAGGGTTTGCAGTCCGACGGCCGAGATAAAGGGAGCAAGGTGCTTGAAAGCGCTGACAATTACATTTTTAGTGTACTTGCTTTTGCTGGCCAGCAGAGAAAGCAGCAAATCAGTCAGCACATCTGCCCACAATGGCTCATCTGGTGTTTTGGCCCTTGTCTTTTTATCGACAAAGAGCGAGCGGTTGGCGCACTCGGCCAAATCGGGCAAAATGGCACAAATTTCATTGTAGCTTTCAAACAGCTCAATGACAAAGCCAAGATGGAGCAGCTTAAAAATGTTTGCCTCTGTGCTTTGCTTCTTGAGCGAATCAATTTGCTCAATTTTGGACCTCAAATCTTCAATTGTTTGTCGAATGTCATCGTCTAATGGTTTTTCGGCAGAGGACAGCAGTTTAACCCTCTTTTTACCGAAAAGTCCGACGATAAAGTCTCCCATCAATGTGAGAGCCCGAGTCTGCTCCTGAAGCTTTTCCTTTTGCGAATTAACGCCAGACGAGGCCACTTGGCAGAGATGTGCAAAGGTCGATTTAAAGCCGTCTGGAAACTGTTTTTGTAGTTTTTCGCCAACAGGACTTGTGAATCGCTCCAATTTTTCAGTTTCGTCAATTGCAATGTCCTTTTTGCAGTTGCTAACGTCAAAGTACGCATAGACAAACAAAAACTTGCTCACAGCCCACAAAAATGTGTCGTAGGCGTTGTATGATTTGATTAGTTGACACATTTGTTGCAGGCAGCGGATTCGAAAATAGTCGCTTTCAGGAACCTCTTCTTGGCTGGTCATGAGACCTTTGAGCATCACAATCCAGGCACGTATCGAGTCATTTCCAAAGTTTTTCAACATTGAAGACAAGACTTTAGATTTGGAAAGCTCATCAAAGTTGATTGATCCAGGCTTGTTGATGAAGCACTTGGCAAAAGCCACCTGGTAATCGCTGTCATCTCGCTTGGCGGCCACCAACTGCACAAGTTTGTTTCCCAGGACCACAGCATTGGCGTGCAGAGGATGCTTCTTGTTGCCCAGAGTCTGTATAAACAAACGCATAAACTTGGGCGACAAAACGAGCTCCACCTAAAAGAGTACAAATTAGCAAGTGTGATTAAAAAGCCAAAAACTTACTTGTTCAGGGGTTGCCAGCTTGAGCATAATGTGAGTCATTTCAAAGCCGAGTGAAGACTTGGCCCAGTTTACTTTGAATACATCTTCGACAATGGCTGAACAAAGACTGGCTACATTTTCTGGCTCAATTTCGAAAAGGGTGGTCACGAGCAGTTCGTTGATTGGGTGAATGTTGGGGTGGTAAGCTGTCGTTTCCTTCAAGAGGCTGAGCACTTGACCATAGTCGTTGCTTCCAAGCTGATAAACATTCGAGTTGAAAAATTTGGTAAAGCACTCTCTTAAGCTCAAGTGCTTTCGAGCCAACATGATAAAATATGCGTAAAAAAGTGACTTTTTATCTTCATGAGCTTCCCACATTGGCAAGACAGTCTTTTTAAACACTTTGGGTTTCTCTGCAAAAATCTCCAAGTAGAGTGGCAGCAAATTGCAGACTACAATTTCGACATAGTTCTTCTTTGACCCCAGCCTAAACAGGTAGTCAGATATTTGGGTAATGAGATCCCCGCCAATGTCTAGTGTAACGCGACCACTTTTCAAAATGCATCCAAGAAACAGAGTCCAAGAGATGGTGGTTTCTGCAGTGTTTTCCGCCACCTTGAGGCCATACTCCTTTTGCGCCTGTTCAAACACTTCGGCAATGTTGCTCTGTTCGGGAAACTGCTCCAAAATGGACGTCAGCAGAACGCAAAATCCATGGCGAGCAAAATCTCGACTCGAGAGAAGACCACGAGTCAGTCGATCAATGCAGTAGCCGACATCATTGCTGGCGTTGTTTGGGTTGTTGATCTGGCTGGCCAGTGTCTGAAGAATCACCTGCGTGCTGCGGCAGCGCTTTTCATCAGACGGGTCGCTAATGTTCCAAAAGTGGTCGAGTATCACCTGATTGCATGGGGCGTTGCCCTTGTTTGTCTTGGTTTTGACCATGATGACAAGAAATGATGGGGATGATGTAAGCAAAAGCAAAACACACACTGCCGCACGTGGTGCTCACGGGATTTTCAATGGGACGGTCCGCAGAGAGCGTGCTCGAGCACGGCGGGTCCCTCTAGTGGCGAAAAAAAGAGTTGTAGGCCCACTGCAAGGCGCTTGTCCAGACGTTTCGGGCGGCAGTCGAGCCGCCTGAAGACGTCCTATGGACCGGGTCGCGCGCCGGTTCTGCTCGGAAAACTCGGGCCCCGGTGGTCCTAGGACCCTGAAATATGGTTCATTCTACTCTTCTCGTCGAGCCCAATCGGACAATCCCGGTCCCAGGTGGATCCGACCACCCGGGCCCGAGCTAGGCCCCCCGTGCCTCTGCTTGTCTAGACGGGCTGGCCGGCTCTGCTGCCGGCAAGCCGTCTTATGGACCGGGTGGAAAATTGGTTTTGCTCGAGTTTCCCGGGCCCCGGTGGTCTCAGAATCTTGCAACCACTGCCAATCGACTCGTCTCGCCGACCCCGTCAGGATAATCCCGGTTCCAGGTGGATTCGACCACCTGGGCCCAAGATACGCCTCACGCCCCCGTGCCTCTGCTTGTCCAGACGGGTTGGCCGGCTCGGCTGCCGGCAAGCCGTCTTATGGACCGGGTGGAAAATTGGTTCTGCTCGAGTTTCCCGGGCCCCGGTGGTTCCAGAATCTTGCAACCCCCGCCAATCGACTCGTCTCGTCGAGCCCAATCAGACAATCCCAGTTCCGGGTGGATCCTGCGACCCGGGCCCGAACTACGCCCCCCGTGCCACTGCAAGTCGCTTGTCCAGACGTTGGTAAAGGCGGTCAGCCGTCTACCGACGTCTTATGGACCGGGTCGCGCGCCGGTTCTGCTCGATTCTCTGCCGTCCCGGTGGTCCCAGAATCCTGCAACCACCTCCAATCGCTTCTTCTTGCCGAGCCCGATCGGACAATCCTGGTTCCAGGTGGATCCGACCACTCGGGCCCAAGCTAGGCCCCCCGTGCCACTGCCGTAGGCTTGTCCAGACGTTGGGCATGGCTGCACCAGCCATGAACACGTCCTATGGGCAGGGTTGCGCATCCTTTCTGCTCGTATATCCCAAACTCTCGATGACCTAGGGCCCTCAAAACACCGCCATTCGATTCCTCTCGCCTTTGCCGTTAGGACTATGCGCGTTTCGCCGACGCTTGCAGCGCCTCTCTCATCGACTCGAGCGCACTGCTCGCACTCTGGCGGCACTCAGTCCGTCTGCAGCTCTCGTTCAGTGCAGTCGCAGGGCACTCGCAGCACCACTCTCAACAGTGATTTGAATCAACTTGCGCCGCAGTTTGCCACTCTCCTCTTGCAACTTTGTTCATCAAGCATCCACCTATTCCACATGGTTTTAACCACCAGTGCAACATTGTGACAAACCCAACAACAACCCGACAACACTTTCATTTTTCATTGACACGACCGTTTGCACGACACTTTTTTTAGTTTTCAACAACTGCATTCAATTGTAAGTACCAGACTGTTGTTTTGCCATTTGTTTTTTGCGTCAGTGTTGTATTCAATAGCAAGCATTTTTTAAAACTTGAATTTACGTGAATCATTCGTGTTTGCCTACATGGCAATTCCAAACTCTACTCACTTTTAGCTTCTCTGACTACTTGATTTGTGAGGACCAATGCCCTACGAGTGTCCTGTTTGTGTGTTTTTGACAATCCTCGAGCAAGCCTTGCCGCCAAGTGCAGTGCCTAATGGGCAATTTAAATGTCACTGATTGTGAGGCACACTGAGCACTGTTAATCACAAGTGGCAGCAAGCAGCTCATCAGTTGACACGCCGCGCAAATCTTCGTCTCTCCTCTTTGCCGTCTGTGGTCGAGTGTCGCGGTCTGCACAACAACTGCAACGAGAAACCGTCTAATTGGTTGCATGCGAGTTGGTCGCAAGTGAAACTCACATACTAGAGACCAAAACAACATACAGATTTTTTACCCCACACTGTAACCGACACCAATCTCTGATGCAGCAAATGAGTACTACAGCACACACACACAAACAAGCAGAGACAGTGCTTGTCATCCAAGTAAATACACAAGACTGAGTTGTGCTCAAAAACCTTAAAATTACTGAAAGGAAAAAAGAAAGAAGCTTTGTAGTGCCATTAAGTTGAAGAATGACAGGAGAACGAAAAGGCAGGCGAGAGATGATCGAGATAAACGGCGTGTACACAATGCAAAATGGCAATATCGAGATAATTTATTGCGCCAAAGAGGAGGCCAAGGGAAAAAGGCAATGGTGTAAAATAATCCGATTCCTGCTTATCGCAGTGCCCGTCCGTAGTAATATAATCGCAATTATGCGTCTTCAAAATGTATCAAATTTAATCCAAGTTCTACCAGCAATGCGGCGACACACTTGAGAGAGAGCAAGACATTTGCAGTCAGTCAGTCACACTGTCAGAGAGTTGCCAAAAGCCCAAGAGTGCCACACACGCAAAAATTCACAAGCGCACATCACGGCCATGTTATTGTTAGGACAATTGGAGCGGCAGTGTCGCGCAAATGAGCACCCACTGACGTACTCGTTTCGTGCCCTTCGCCAAATTGCGTCCTCTCCCCATTAGATTGTTTACATATGCCCTAGTCAGCAAAAGAGAGGGCGAAAACCTAATTTAATTTAACACTGCTGCTGGTGTTGCCTTTTAAGCTGATCATAATTTTCTCTCAATTCAATCGAAACTTGGTGGTGCTCCAGAAACTGAGCCTCAGAGGGGGCAGAGTGTTAGTACTCACTAACACTGAGTACCTTTTTTGTTCAGATGTTGGAAAACTCAAATGCAACATTGTGCCAGTTCCGAGCAAAGGAATCGTCCGCATCCGAGTCATCTGCCAGTCCCTTGCCTTGCCTAGCCTTGCCGTGGTCAGAGACCAATTTGCTGCTAATCTGGCGTGCACTGGTGCGCGTCTGTCCACTCTTCTTGCACTTGGGCCACTTGCAGCAAGCTGGCCGATTAGCTGTCACTTTGCTGAGATGCATCCAGTCAGAGAGGCAAGGGGGCATTATTATAAACGAGTGCATTCAGTGTGCGACACTGGCCAAGTCTGCAAATTGCCATCTCGCCTAATTGAGTGCTCTCCTCGGTCCTCAATGCCATCACTCTCTGGAATCCGCAGTCGAAATGACCATTTGCTTGCACTGCACTTTGGGCCCATTAGCTGCCGCCCATTTGTCATTGTCGTCTTTAATTGTCCATTTGAACCTTTCAATGAGGGGGATAAAAAGCGTCTGAACAACAAACTTACATTTAGCTGTCATGTTCAATGTTTCCTCCCGAGCTCTCTAATGCATTTGCTCTTACCGTCCTCTTTGCCAGTCTTGCACTTTGCCTCTCTCTCTCTCTCTCTCTCTCTCTCTCTCTCTCTCTCTCTCGTACCTCTCGCGGCACCAAATTAAGCTTATTTGAATTGACTTGCCACTCACTTCATCTCTGACTTTACTCGGCTTCAACCATCAAGACAAATGCATCTGCATTCACGCTCTTGTACCTAGTGGCACAATCAATTCTTTGGCAGCACTCTATGGCAAATTCATTTTGTGCTAATCGCAAGCCGCCTCGAGTAGTTTCAATCTCACTGCCAACCTGACACGCTCGTCGTGAGGCCGTATCAATGCAAAATGTGATCGCCTAACCTGACACCGCCAATAATACCTTGCAAGTGGGCTTGTCTGTTTATCCTCATTCGTTTGCCAAGTA